ATCATCATCATCATCATCATCATCATCATCATCATCATCATCATCATCATCATCGACGGCATGACATCAGTGTTCGACACCGATGCTTCACTGCCGTAAAATCACTGTAGAGAGAATCCAGAACCTGTTGACCCGCACGCTTCATTGTACGAACAGATAAGATGGCTAAGTAGACGGGCCTTCGGGGTTCAAAGTGTTTAGGGTTGTCGGTGAAGTCGAAAAAACAGAGGCTACGGCAGAGCGTAATGTATGGCGAACACAGCTGTCAGTCCTGGTGCTGGGAGCAACCAGTGGATAAGCGAATTCGGCAAGGTGTGTTTGACGGTGAGTAACGTTGAGTAATAACAACGAAAGCCGTGGAAGACGAATGGTTTTATATGGACCCTTGTAGAACACCACTGCTCATTGGAGAGCTTTGGAAAAGCTCCCCGTACTCTCTGACACACCCATAAGTAGTTGAATACAGATAGTGTATGATATTCATTCATGAACTTTCAGACCGTATCACGTGACGCAAGCGTGGGGAAATGAAAGAACTCCGAAGTTCGGGGAAACTCATCACAGCAATCGTTCAATTTTCGGTGCCTGGACACCATGCCATCTGAAGGAAATATATGGATCAGGTTGCCCAAACCTGGATATGCTGATGTTGATTTCGAACCGATCAATAAGTTCGTCTCTTGAACCCTGAGATATCTAGAGCTCGAATTAAGGGAAAACAATGATCGTAGGACAGGGATAAGCATGTCATTACTCTGACACCTGACAGAGTCTGGAGAAGTTGTTTACAAAACCCTATCAACGTATTCATGCACTCTCCTAAGAAAGAAAGCGGTGCAGATTAATTCCTATTTGACCATCAAATTCACTGCGAGGACCTTTTTTAACTGGGCACTACTGTCGATTTGCTCCGGGATAGTCTCTTTTACCCAGATTAAGGCCAATTGGCTGGACAAGTACTGACTAAGTCCTCATCCTCGTAAACAACAAGTGGGAACCAACAGCAGAATTGCAAATATCCTCATGAAGCTATTTGCCTAACATCATTAAAAGTATTGTGGGTTTTCGGATTTAACTACCCATAAATCTGAAGAACCAGAACGTGATCGTTCTAGGCGTACACACAAAAAAGAGTCACTTACAGTGTGCAGTTCCTGAAGAATCATTGAAGATCTTGTAGAGCTGGATAGTAGGGCACGATCGATTTCCCCGGATACACTCTCAAAACCAAACTTCCGTGTACCCTCCTCGTGGATACTGGACTTCATCGAAGATCGGCTTATACCTGTGTAATTACATATGTGCAACACGTGACGTGCGATAGAGTAATGTTGTGTGGAACTGATGAACAGTGTAATTGGGAACGAGTAAAGTACATTCACAAGTACTGAGAATTTTTAAAAAAACCCTAATATCTAGGATACAACTAAATTATTCACGGTGTACAAGATTGAGCACACTTCGAATTCAATGAAACTCCAAGGCGATTTATCACCTACGTGGGTACATCATCGTAGGGGGACAAAAGTCGGACGGTATGCGGTTTCGTATACTAAGTGCCTTTGTCGCCAAAACTTTTTCCTAATGATAATTCAGCACGATGGTGTGAACGGAGAACATCAAATGATGGGATGAACAGGACGAATTCGACTGGTTATCTTTATTTAGCACAGTCATATCGGGTGGTTCTTTGTCACCAAGACGACGAACGTTGTAGTGGAAGTTTGCCGGTTTCATTCCATGAGATTTGTGAATTTTTTGCTTTCGTCAATTTGGGCAACGCGCGATTGGGAATGAAAAGGAAAACTGCTCACAGAGATTCGTGTGACTTGAGCAGACCCAACATTCGGTGTAACAAGTGAAATACTTTCCGCTTTCCCAGCCCTGCAAGTGATAGTAACTGCTCCCGCTGTTTTCAACACTCGATGTGGCAATCAACAAGCAACCACGTGATGTGAATTCCATGACTGAAAGATGGGTGGCGCCTTGACTTGTCAAAGTGTGAGTTATTCACACTGCTGACCAACCGTTCTTGTTCGGAGGTTGCGCATTTCAGTCGCTCTGGGTTTTTGCGAGACGAGTACTTCTGACGACTCTAGGCAATGATGGAGCTGTTAGGAGCTTCCTGGCTTTGGCACAGACTTGCATCACATGAATAAGCTCCCGCCGATGATTTGAAAATAGGTCTTTTAGGCTTCATCTGACCACTGGTTTTTAAAAAAATTGAGCGTGTCTGCCTCCGGTCGGAGGCGCACGGGTATCAGCGGAATCAAGCGACTGTCATTCTGCCGATACGGGGAGAAAAGAACGCGCTGTACACACTGATTTCGATCGATAACCTGATATCGAGCTTAGGTTGACTGTATTACGAACAGCTGCTGTATCTGAAAGCTGAACGACTCAGTTTCTGACCAAATCATAGCCCCAAGCTTTGCCCAAATGCAGGACACAAGGCTGCTTGCGTTAGAGAGAAAGAGATGAAACACTATTAGCGGAGCCGTTACTGAAACTAACTAACCTTCTCGCTGCAAGACAACCATCAGAAATACATTGATCTGGGTGGCCTCCGCATCAGTTCAACTAAGTACTGGCCGGTGATCGTGGTGATATGAGTGGTATAGATGGACGGAAGTAAATGTATTAGGAATTAGCAAAACAGGTATCATCAAATCTGTCGCATCATCAGAGGAACACACGACACCTGTTTTGAAGGACACATAAGTCCGGCTACGGCGGATATGCCGAATTTTATCAAAATCTTGGGTTAATCGATTGAGTCTGCCGCTTATCGTTTCTCCAATACTTGGACACCAATTATCTGAAGCTGTTCAGTCCCAGTGTTTAGTTGTCTTGACGCATTACTGGGATTGAGTTCCTAATCTCATGGTAGACTGACGATTAATGACCAGGAATTCACTTAGTTCGGGGTATGACCCTATACCCAACAGTCCAACTAACCAAATATGCGAGTCTCTGGAGAGAAAAAAACTACCTGGCATTTCTTTTTGCCAACGAAGAGTTACACAGGCATATAGTTCCAAACAATCTTGGGAAAAAACATAAGGCTACCGGCCTCATCCTCAGCGAGCTAAAATCATGTGCACACTAACATACAAACCGATAACACAGGTTCAGGTTTTTGGATTTCTATTAGTAAAGCAACCGGAGCCAAAATACTCTACCAAATCGGAACGTACTCTGTAAAAGATTTCGTCTTCGGAATCAACTAGGCCAGGTGATCGACTGATCACTGAATAGGTGATTACAAATGAGCGCTCGAATGATCAAATTTGTTCTCCAATGCATGTGTGCGCGACCGCACTGCAGGCGTGAGTGTGGACGAATCAAGTCTCATAGATGAGCACGTGATCACCGGTTCGATAAAAAGTGTGCGTGACTGTCTTGAGTAAGACTATCAAAAACGAAGTAAAGATTGCAACGGCAGCGAGAAAAAAACGCATGTTTGGTCTGTTCGAATCACGCGCGAGAACTCCAGTCGGAGTGACAAGTGCCTGTTGCATACTCGAAGTGACTTGAGTAGCATTCTTACGCCTCGACTGCTTAGATGCCATGCCTGCACGCTTAAGTGCACTCATAAGCATGAGAAACTTCAGAGTTGTACAAAAATAGCCGCTCAACAGCAGATTAAAACGAAGGATTTCACCGTTCCAGTCGGTAACATGTAGACGGGGTTTTTCCCAACAGGTCTGTGATGAAAAACATTAAAAAGAACTAGGATGCCGGTAGTCACAGAGAGAATCTGATCTTGGACTTTGTTTGTAAGCGAGACTAGTGCAACGGCGATAGACAGATCACGGAGTACTTCACAGCGGTATCCCTTACACAGCGTGTCTTTTTCAGCAAAAATTCCAAAGTCCGAAGAGTTAAAAGTATCCAAATGCGACAGGTATCGACATCCAAGATGTGTTGTAGTGAGCTACTGAGCTACTGCTCACCGAAACAAACACTACATTTATTTGAAAAACCCTTCCTGAATTAGCTAACAAAGACCAATTCTTATCCAAAGAATCAAAACCCTGGTATGTCGTCATCATCATCGACAACATTAGAAAACCGATGCTTCTCTCCCATAAGTCCAGTGTGAAAGCAAGAACAGCTTATTGTCCAGCTTGCTTCAGAGTGTGAACATTAAAATCAATCAGATAAAGCGGACATCGAAAGCTGGTGCCTGGGTTTGTCGGCGCCAGCTGACGCGCAAGTGTTGCGGCCAAGACCAGTGTAAGACGAACAGGTTCGTCAATCCAAGTTGACATGCTTACAAGGAGTTTTTCATCATAGGATGAAGGGAGAAGGAAGCGGTAGCATTTTGAAAAGAAAGAATAGAGTCATCAGTGGTCTGTTGTTGTATTTAGCCAGTAAGGTGACCCGGTTGATGACATCACGTGGCTACCGATGTGGTTTCAAAGCAATATAAGTTGTAGCAACTATGGTTGCACATCGCCAAGATCTAGAGCGCATTACGGTTAAGGCCCTCGACTCAATCCTTTGACTACAATGCCTAACCTCAAACTATCGGTGTTTGGCGGGAGGCGTCAGTGCATAACAGTTTCCACACATGTTCCAACTCCCCGATTCGGAGGGCCAGGAGGCCTTTACCCAGTGAATGACCCGATATCCCGCGGACACTGTTCGATATGGCTCAGTGAGTTGCCAAGGCAAAACGCCATCACATCACAGTGAGGTCGAGTCTTTTCTCGATTGACTGCTCATCAGAACGACCATCGTTCCACAAATGACCATTCAGACCGCACTAAAACTCGTATTCAGGTGGTCAACCTTCACAGCCATCAAATCGGAGGGTTTCACGTGCCTGGCAATCATAGGAAGCTCGCTTACAGTTAAAGCATTGTGTGCTCAAACCTGCCCAAAAATTCTGAAACGCCACAATATTCGCAGCCAGCCATACTTATACAAACAGTTGAGTGTCCTGAGGGTTGGTATCTGGGAATGTATCGCATCTGTTCCCAAGTCCTCCACGGAACAGAGCCTATGTGCTTGTTGAAAGCGTGAGAAGAAACAAGTTGTCTGCAAGAAGCTGTCAGTTGAAAATCACGTCCTACCTGGTGAAAAGTCTTCGGCGAGCTCGGTAAATTAAAAAAAACTGGTTAAAACACCAGAAGGGCCGTTCCGTGGCAAGCCTGTAGGTTTACCTCTTCTAGGAAACTAAACAAACAGATGGTGTAAATAGCGTTTCCTGCAAGGAGTGCTGTCAGTCAGTCTCAAGACCATCCATTCTGCAGTGACCCACAATCGCTGGCAGATTTTGTCATCCCCTTGCTAAACTACATGCAGTTTCTCCCCCCGGGGAAGAACCACCTGAAGAGATCCATCAAAACGACCTCTTCTTTATCGTTCAAAGGTTATTTAGGACAGAAACAGAGATAGACATTCTAAGAGTAGCTACTACTAAATATGGTAACCTCACAAAGATAAACCTGTCATCACAATGTGCTACTATGAAAAAATCTTTTTTTCACGGGAAGAATACATTTCCACGAGGTTTACGACAGTAACCTCTAAATGATGATTCGATAGTGCACAACCTCTTTGGTCCTACAGTGACTGATATCCTGTCGTTTGTTTACTGCTCTGTACCGTTCTAGATGGATAACTGTCGGAAGAAAACGTCTCTTGGTAGCAATCACATGTGAAGCATCACTAATACCTTTATTATTATGTTGACAAGCAACTCGGTTTCTGTAAGAATCGTCAGGAACTTAACACTTAGTAGAACGCAAGAGTTGTACCTCATGGCCTGTTCTGAAGGACTGATTCACATACTGGATACAATCAGAGTGATCACCAAAAGATAACATCTCCCGACCAAAATTCATTGTGAGCTCGAGGTGGCTTGCTGGTTAAGGCGGGCGCTTACTGACTGGAAGTTCCTTTGCATCTAGACTGCTTCTATCTGGGCTTGTTCAACCTGGTTTTAACTCAGCCCTCGTACTTGCATCGGGTGGCATGTTAGCTAGGTACTGGAGGAGCTCTACATCCTAACCATTGTATTTTGAACTTGGTTGCCAGCACTTGAGTGACCATAGTTGGGGTGTGGTCATTCCACTTGAGCTGACTTTTCGGGAACCATGGTATACGTGGTAGATCTGAAGTTACTCGAACTACATGTCGTTAGTTTAACTCAACCGCACCTGGGTGTGGATTCGTCACGAGCGAGGAATAATTGTGTTTTTCGGTCTACTGACATGCAACGAGAGCGGCTCATGGAACGTGATTCACCGAACTCCGCCTAACTGTTTGCTGAAAGAATTTTGGTGAATTTTTTGGCTAAAACTATGCGTTGTAAGTTCCGGCTAGATAAACGCCCATAAGGCACCATGCAATCACTCGATTTCGATGGGTAAAGACTCCATTTGGATAGGAGAGGCAGAGCAAAGTCTGAATCTGCGGAACAATAAAGCAGGATGATCGCAGAATTAACTTGATAACATTGTTTAACTTTCTTTCAGTGCCCAGCTGCTGTGATGCCCGAAGGAATGAAGCACGAGGAGTGAGGTACTGTGAGGTTTTTAAAGCCTAGACAGGAGCATTCGAGATTCTGAGGTTGAGATTGAACCACGAACCTATTGCTCAGCTGCAACACTCTTCCGGAGATTACCTTCCATGCTACCTGAACGAAACAGGAGGTCTAGGATACCGCCATGTTGCCCAAGTCTAGAAAGTAGAAGTCGAGAGTTAGAGGTTGGGTTCGAGCCACGAACCTTCCCCTCAGTCAGTGGGTTCGCGTCTTAAATAATCAAACGTCGCGTGGTATTAGATACAAATTAAAACAACGCATTAAGACTTACGCCTCCGAAGTGTGCCCCATATTCGTCCCACTGTGGTTCCTTGTCGGAGATCTGAAATACTGCGGAACAAGTTGGGATGACGGACGGGCGTGTCGTTTGTTTCCTCAGTGGCAGCAACATACACCCTGGAGCAATACTCCTGAGCCAACAACCTTCTTTGCGTCTTCTGCAGAATTCGTTCAGAGGCTTCCGACCAGGTTGCCAACGGATATTGCTCGGTGTAACTCAGTATAGTGCAAAAGTTGGCCAGTTTGAGTGGAACTGCACGTAAGGTTAAGATAATGCGTGTGAAATCAAAGATCTGGTGACATGAACTCTAGGTTTGACCTGTACACTTATCGGCATACACATACCTGGAACCCAGCCGAATCCCTTTTTCATGATGTTTCTGTGTTATAGTGGTCCTCCTACAATAGCTCCTTAAGGGCGAAAATAGTTCCCTTGTCATAGCAATACATTTGAATACATTTGATTAAACTCTTCTATGTGCAACTAAAAGCCTTAATAGTTCTGTCGCCATCGAGAAAAAAATAACTAGATGCCATCACCGGAAGTATCAGGGTTATGTCAACTTGTTCGGTGCGTTGTATTATCATCCAGTCTCACTAAACCTATCCACAGTCACAACAAGCACGCTTCGGTGCTGTAGAAAGGAATCTTCAAAAAGTTTCGGTATGTTTATTACATCATGGATTCTGGAATACTTCTCCCACCTTAGCGGCAGGAGGAGAAACTACCGATCTGGTTCGTACCAGCACCATCGTGCGGCAGATTTGATGACCTAAGACTCTGAGTGAGCACTAGAAATAGTTGAAACGAAATAGTCGAAAACGAAAATGAGCAGGAGTTCAGCAAGAAATCCCTGATCGTGCCTTACTCTGGCACGCCAGTAAACTTCAATAGCCTATTTAATCGCACGAAAAAACAGGGCTCAATTGTTTATTTGTATGAATATTCCTTCATACATCATGCACTTCCACACAAACGCTAGTCATTCGTCCACCTTGAGCGTCCAACCAAAGCTGATAAAAAAGCCGGTGTTATTGTGCTACTTTTCATGTACAAGTAGTTAGGACGTTAATTAAAAATACAAGAACCAGCCCACATATGGTTCAATTCAGCAGTGAAACGACATTTAGGTTCGCAATGTTTTTTTCGTCTAAGAGGATGGGTCGGGGTAACTATGGCTTTATATGGAATCTTATTCGGAAAAGTGGCGCGATCGATCCATAATGAGACATGTTGTCTTACTAGTGGAAAAGACGTTAACATTAATCCTCACCTCTAAAATATCAAGTAGGTTTGCACGATCACGGGTAACCTTGTCAGCTTAAAACGCATAGTAGAGTGCGAAATGTACCTGCCGATCGAGCGGAGTGAAGTCAGGGTTCCCATTTTTCTACCGTTGGGAGTGTTTCTTCAGTAAACTCGTCTGTTTTGATGCTTCGAATGGTTAATGGTCCAGCAAAAGGCTAATTTGTGTCAATTATGCCGAAACCCCGACTTCCATAACACCGTGGAACCTCGAATTTCTCCACAAACAACTTCACATCCTCAAAGTGTTGTGACATTATTTGGGATTTGTGTAAAGGAACGGAATTTTCCGCACTAAAATTCTTACAATTGCGAGTGTTTTTCGTCATAAACAAACCAATCAAAATTAAGTGGATGATATAGTGATGTCCCCAGGTTGCGTGCTCTCAGGGTTATCAATCCCTGATATGATGATATGCTGTCGTAAACACCAAATGTACTACAGAACCACTGATTGGATGGTTTCGTGACTCACGTGCAACGCTTCGAATGCATCGTTGGCCACTTTCATGCTGAGCGGGAAGGGCCTAGTATCGTTGGCAAAGCTAGATTAGTCTAGGTGCCAGCTGACAACATAGAGGAACAACTACATGTGTACTGAGAGTAGTTCCGATCTAATGAAGTCACACAGGATTTAAAGTTACGTTGACACACATGATGTCCCTCTGACCCTAGGTTACCCTCCAAACAAATCAGTAAGAACTTACTCTGAGGCGAGTCTTAAAACTTACACAAGCTATTCAGGGTGATCACACAAAGCGTCAGAGTTACAGCGGATCATCAAGTCAGGCGACTGATAGTACACCACAGTCAACGCATTTGAAACGTTCAGACGCCTCCCACCAGCACACGCTATCCACTCGGTGTTTTGGGTTCGACACAGCTGGATTACTAATTTTGGTGGCGGTTCCTACGAAGTTGTAGAACAGCTGCACACACAATAATTACACTAAAGATGTGTTGATTGTGTTTACTACGTCTTCTTTTCGATGGTAATCCTTATTCTTCCAAATAAAGGTAATACGGGTTGCAGAGATGGTCATTCGGTTGTGTACTGAACACTTCCAACCCCAGCGTACTTCCACTCACAATGCACCGATGATATCACCTCAACTGATGATGAAACGTTTGCAACCAACTTGCTTAGTTCAGCAAATAAATCAAGAGCGACTCAACTTTCCAGCCTAATGCGAGGTCACGTTCAGATCAATGACACCACAAGGATCATCTGGGTGAGACTGTGTGCGAAACCCCGCGGTCACTTGCTCCCTCGTTTGTAACTCAACATGTAAAAGTCTCACGCCTACGGTAACCATTCATTAGCATTTTCAGGGAATGTCACATCAAAAAACTTACTGATAGCTGTCCGAAACGTCCGTAAACTAGTGAGGTAGAGTGAAGATATTGGGAAGTTCGGTAGTTTACTGTGAGGAGCAGTCAGCTGACACTGACGCTTCACCGCAGTACGAACACAAAGCTTATTCGATTATAATTGAAGCCTTCAGGTGAAAACAAGAGAAAAGAATGGGTAGCGAAAGAACCTGTAGGCTGGGCTCTGGAGGCAATCCGAGTTGCCTACCCATCCAAGTGCCCGATCAGACAACCGCGGATATCGACTTGGCTCCATATGTTGCAGTGTCTCCGGCCGAGCTCAGTGAGGTAACGGGCGGACCGCGTGAATAACACGTCAGTAACTTCCGCCAAGCCATACGCTATCCACCTGCCAGTTCGCACTATTAAGAAGGAGGCATAGAGAACGAGAATCGTCTCAGCAGACGATTTTTCGATGCGCGTAGAACATAGTCGAGACATCGCAGTTGATGTTGCTGGGTCTTCTCCTGGAATGAAGTTTCTTCTTAAGGTGCTGGGTCTTCAGTCTATACTGGAAGAAAGCCTTTAGGACTGTGGTGCCTGCTTTTCGTTTCAACAAAGGACTGATTCACGTGACCGATTCCTCACACCCAAATTAATATCTCGCTCATGTGGCTATGTAATCAAATTTCATTTGACTGATATATTGGACTTGCTGATCATCATCATCATCATCAGACTGATTCACCCGATTCCTCACACCCAAATTAATATCTCGCTCATGTGGCTATGTAATCAAATTTCATTTGACTGATATATTGGACTTGCTTGCTATCATCATCATCATCATGTTGCAGGCCGGTAGTAAGGATTGGAAGTTGAAAGTAGCCAACTGGATTATTGTTGTACTGGGACCAACGGCCCAAACGTTCTCACTTGCTGGATATCAGAGAGCCATTCTGATCCACTGTAGTCCCGCTGACTAGAGATTTCTGAGGGCCAGTCGAACTAAGTAAGTGGAGCAGTCTGCAGACATTTCCAGCATTCTTAGCATCTTCCACTTATTCCACCATTCGGGTCCCCCAAGCTTTGGGGATGAATGCATATTTAAATTCACCTGGCGACGGATGATGCGTCGGGTTGAGTTGTGGTTGCGGCCACAAGGAACCTCTCTCCGGGACTCCGGGAGAGCAATGGCCCTATCGGAGATCCAAGGTCTGGATGACGTTGGCTGGGTTGTGTCGCAAACGGAAATTCAGGCGTAGAGTGGTACTTCAGATATCTGTTCCGACTGGTCGTTAATATCCGAGATCGAACCGTTCGACAGACGTTCCAGGAGCCGGTTCTAAAAGGTCCGTTTGACTTCTGGGTCCGCTAGTTTCTCAATAGGTGTGCGCGTTTATCCTAGGCCCGAAAAGCGCAATGAAAAGCAGCAGCTCTCAAGTGCCTGATCGGAATTCAGGTTGGCATTCCACCAGCAGTGGCACGCAGTGATCGACCCACACTACTGGCAAGTGGCGACAATGTGGACTATTTGATTTCGGGACTGGCTCGTTGGTGGGCAGCACGTTCTCAGGCGAATCTCTATGTTCCGGAAATTCGTACAGGAAAGAAACAGTCCGTGATTGGCACACATCTGAAGCAGGTGTTCTCGGTTGTCCTTACGTCTCGCATCCAACCCAAGAAGGTCACCCAACTGGATCTCAGCAGCGTTCAGTCTATCTACGAGGCGGCATGGCTGTGGTTATAGCGCGAATTTACTGACCGGAAGGTCCATGGTTCGAAACCGACCTCTGCCTCGCGATTTCTCCTGTCTGAGCCAGAACAGCCTGGTAGTATCCCAGTCCTCGTGCGTCCTTCGGGTGGCATGGCAGCTAGGCATTGAATGGGTGTTACAGCTGAACGATCATGTTTTATCTTCGTGTGCATTCGTACTACTGGTTTGTTTCGTGTGTTGGCTATGAAAGACGCAGGACGCACTGCTGGATATCCGGTGCCTGCTTCGGAAAACGAACACCAAGAATGGAAAACGTTTCTAACTGTTCCTCTGTGGAGGAAGAGGGAAACTTCACCGGAGACAGCTTATCAAGTCAGGGATGTTTGTTCACTTGAGCCGTTCTCTGTTACGAATGTGCTTGCCTAAAATGATCACATCACTCGAGAAAAGCGCAGACACATATTGGAAGAACCAGTCTTTTATTAGTTCACCGTTGCACGATGCCTCGGTGGGGCAGCTGATTAAACAACGCTTACAGATAGCAATCAATATGATATTCAGCGCTTCTGATTCATTGTGTACCTTTAGTTCTGCAACGTGAGCTTAGATCCCGGGCACGAGGATTTTTAGGTGTATTAGGAGAACCAGCTCCGAACGTAACGGGACTACATAACAGCCAATGGAGTGACCGTTTTCGTTGAGATAGATTTCATTGGTTCTTCTTCACTCGCCCTTAACAGATGAGTTGTATTCTTAGTTTGTATGCGACAGTGATCAATAGATCAGC